ATATGTATGTGTATATGTATATGTGTATATATGTGTACACATACATAATATATACATACATATACACATACACACATATACATAGTTATCCCTTCTACAGCATGGGGGTTAGGAGCACGGTGCCCCTTTGATCTGGAAAATCTGCATAAAATGTTTTTTGGCCCTCCCTTTGTACCAGAGAGGAAGTTTGAATTATTGTGGTATTAAAAGATAAAATATGTTGATATTATACAATATTGTACATATATTTTATGCATTTCTGAATTTCTAAACTTTTTCTGTGTTGTCTGCTGGCCTTCTTGTATCATCTGGGGCTTCTGCAAATCTCCTCCCAAATTCCCATTTAATTTCTTATGTTGCCCCGTGATATATCGAAACCGCAGGCAGGAAAGGATAACTATACTACTATGAATGTTGCTGGAGTCATAGCCACCCTATATGGGGCAGGGGAGAAAAGGACAGAGAAGACTAGTTACTTAAAGTCAAACTAATAAAAGAGGGGCTGGGGGGCTTCCAAAGCACTGCAGTGCAAAGAAATGAGCAGGATTCTTGCTAATTATGTCCTTGCTAGTATTTGCCTTCCATTTCCTTTGCTTCAGTTTCCATATCTATAAAACTAGGTGAATGGTCCCTAGCCTTTCCCATTCATTGGTTCAGTGTGCAGTGATGAAGTGCTCTCTCTGTGCCAGATACCATGCCAGGGATCCAGAGACAAATATGAAACAGTTGCCATCCTTTTGTGGCTCATGTTCTACTGGGGAAAAACATCAGTCAATCAAAAAGCATTTATTAAGCACTTACCATATGCCAGACACTCTGCCAAGCTTTGGAGACAGAAATAAAAGCAAATGAGACAGTCCCTGTCCTCAAGGAACATACATCCTAATGGGAGAAGACAACACATATAGGGGCAGTGCTGGGAAAGGGGGGAAGAGTCTGCACAGAGGCCAGGTTTGAGAAAGACGAAACACAGCTGGCATCCTTCCTAAAATGGTGGTCCTGGGAAGGGGCCTTGGAGTGGAGGTATCTCTAGGGTAAAAAATTTCTGTGGATGCAAAGATTTTTTTTCAAAATAAGTTTTTATTGGTGTCTGGTTTTTTACTTAACTATAGTTCTTCCAAGTATCCCATCTCCTCCCACCCTCAGAGGGCCATTCCAGATAACAAATAGTATTTTTTAAAGACAAAAAAATTTTAAAAAGAGTAAAAAATGATTAAAAATGATTTAAAAATGATCAAAGTCTGAAAACATGTGTGACATTCTGAACCTCCCATCTCTGCAAATGGGTATCTTTCGTTTCACATCTCTTCTTTCCAGCCATGCTTGTTCTTTATAATTTTGCAACATTTACTTTG